GGGACCTATACAAAGCCAGTGAGGCACGGAGCCTGGCTCTCTCCCTTGCCCTGCTGGTTTCCAGGGAGCAAGATAGTGAGGAGACTGGATACAGAACTGCCTCAGGCAAAGATGTTGTCCCCAGATGTGCTTCAGATTTCTGTGGAACCCCCTGAGGCTGCCACCCTTTCCCCCGGGGAACTCAGCCTGTTCTTTACCTCCCAGGATACCTGATTATTATGATCTCAGCCTTACTTTTCCCTCTTCCTCAGCTCCATCTGGGAGCACCAAGAAGAAATGACGGTCAGTGTTCTCTTGCCAGTACTGGGTGTTCAGAGTTCCAGCCTCGACTGTCTAAGACATACCTGGTCCTTTGCTCTCCCGTCTCTGAGAGTCCTCTATCACCATCTTCAGGGCTCCAGAAAGCTACCTTTGGTCTCACTAGTATGACCGGTCCCCAGGGAACTGCTGTGGTTAAGGATCCTGGCCCTTTAATTCATCCCCAGCTAAGAAGATCCTGGGGCCTGGTAAAGCCATGCAGAAACACCCTCAGGTCTGAGAGCATAGGTATCTGGTGCCAGGCAGGGGACTTGCACAGCTTTCAAAGTGCCTATTCTGCTGGCATATGTGCTCCAATACTTGAGGGCTGGGCAGAAACATGAAGCATGGGTTTGCCCTTGGTCTTCCCTCACCCTGGCTGGAACTATAGCATGTTTGTATATGTGTGGCCTTCACCCTGGCATTAGGACCCCTGGCATGTCCACAGTCCTCACTGGCCCACATTAAGTGTGGATGGCTCTTGTGTTAGTCAGCCCAAGTATCTAAGTATAGACTCAGACTGCCCCGTGGCTGCCCCTAACTCCCAGGGTACCATCTGATACCCAGATACCAGCAAGGTATCAGATACCCATCAGCCACTGCCAGCGACTTGGAGAAGATTGGGCTAAAAGAACAGAGAGCAGCCATCCCCATTATGAACAAATGAAGCAGCTAGTCTCTTGCTGGAAAATAGAAGCCATGGTTTGAAGGAAAGTGGCTTGCTCATTGCACATTTTCTTAGAAGCTGAGGAGGGCAGTAATTCTCCAGGAAGCTATATATAGACTGGCAGCCCCCATCCTATCTCCAGCCCTCCAGCAGAGAGAAGAGCCCTTTACCTTCCTTGGCTTTGAGATGCCCTAGCATTGTCTGTGGGCATGTGCACAGGTGGACTCCCCTCCTAGGGCATGGGGGCTCCTCTCAGATCTGAGGGAGTTTTTGAATGGCTTTACCTGTGAACTCACTTCTGCAGGAGGTCGTTAGAGATTACTTAGGGACATTCTAGAGGAATAACTTGGGTTAAACAAAGACTTAGCTGTACCTGGGGAAGGGAGGGGGACACAAACATCAGTATATAAGATTCGAGGGAGCTGGACACCCATGGCTCACGTCTGTAATCCTAGCTACTCAGGAGTCTGGGATCTAAGGATCGCAGTTCAAAGGCAGCCTGGGCAGGAAAGTCCATGAGACTCTTATCTTCAATAAACCACCAGAAAACTGGAAGTGGTGCTGTGGCTCAAGTGGTAAAGCACTAGCCTTGAGCTGAAGAGCTGAGGGACAGTGCCCAGGCCCAGAGTTCAAGCCCCATGACCAAAAAAAAGTTTCGAGGGGTGCTGAGTTAGTGTAGGGCCTGGCAGAGTCATGATATCAGGTGCTCTCAGGGCTTCCTTAGGGATATTCTTTTAGCCAGTAGTCCTGGAGCCTAGGGGATACCCTGGCTCAAGCATGGACTCATCACTTTCTCCTCATGATTCATTTTGGGACCCAAGTCTATCATGGGACTCAGAAAGCCAGTGCCTTCGTATCCAGAGTGTGCAGCTCTCTTGAGTGGCCTGGCCACCCCAAGTACCCACTAGTAGGTGATAGCCCTCCCCATTTGCCTGTAACAACAAAGCTTTACAGCCATTGATCAGAGAACCCTAAAAAGCATTCCATCTTCAGGGTCTCTTTCCTGGCTCTTTGTAACCATGGATGGGATTTATTTTCTCTTTACCAATTTGACTGAGTTAACTCTATGTACAAAGTAACCACACAAAAATAAAGTCTCAGATTTCGTTCCCCGAAGATCTGGTTCCCTGCCATTCTTCCCCTGTCTCTCCATAAAAAGACCCAGGGACCTGCTCCCTGCCAGTCCCATTGCTTCCAAGGCCTGCCCAAGGTTTGCACGCTTGACATCTTAGTTCTCCCAGCTTAGGGATTGTGGATAGAAACTACCACATACCTTCCCTGGAGACTGGATGGTCCTTGCCCCTGTTCAAGCCTCCAGCCCTGCAGACATGAGATTAGTCAGAAAGGATGGTAATAATCTTTTGTGCAAAGCACTCTGATTTCCCTGAAAGTGATATACTGAGGAGTTGAGCCTGTACCAGGAGCCTCCCAGGATGATTCTTTTGCCTATTACCCTGCCTACCCTCTGATTGTGTGTGTGTGTGTGTGTGAGTGTGAGTGAGTGTGTGCACATGTGCACACAAGCACACTCCTGGGGCTTAAACTCAAGACCTGTACACTGCCACTGAACTTGTTTTACTCAAAGCTAGCACTCTACCAATTGAGCCACAGCTCTACTTCCAGCATTTTTTTCCCCTTTATGGTAGTTAATTGGAGATAAGTCTCACAAACTAAGCCAGGTGCCGGTGGCTCACGCCTGTAATCCTAGCTTCTCAGGAGGCTAAGATCTGAGGATCACAGTTCAAAGCCAGCCCGGGCAGGAAAGTCTATGAAACTCTTATCTCCAAAAAACCACCAGAAAACCAGAAGTGGCACTGTGGCTCAAGTGGTAGAACGCTCTCCTTGAGCTGAAGAGCTGAGGGTCAGTGCCCAGGCCTAGAGTTCAAGCCCCACAACCGACCAAAAAAAAAAAAAATCATTGAAAATCAACTTAGATTTTTCAAGAACATCAACCTCTACGGGATCATTTAATATGATATGTTTGACCTTTCCTCTTAGAGGAAGTCTGGAAAATATCAAAAGAAATGAAGAAGAGGGAAGCCCCAATCTGGCAATGTCACTCTTCACACTCTCTGTAATTAATGATTTATTCACTGTGGGACTCTTCCTTGGTGCCCAGACTGGGATGCAAATCCTGGAGGCCAGGAACAGTATCCCCTGTATTTTCTGTTCATTCCAGGCATGGGTGTACCTCCAAAGCTTGAAGAGTCCAGCTTTGAAGTCTATTAAGCCCAGCTCACATGTTCATTCTTTGTATTCCTTTTTACTGCTGTGTAACCAATGTAAAGCATCATTCATAGCTCTGTAGGTGGAAGATGGGTGGAAGATTCAGATCTTGCGGCACCCCATCCCCTTTCCTTGTTGAGGATCTTCCAAGGCTAAATAAGGTGTCAGCCAGGGTAGCCTCTTATCTAAAAGCTTTTGGGGAGGGGGGGAGAATGTACTTTCAGCCTCATTTAAGTTGTGGGCAGAATCCTGATCCTTTGTGACTATACGAATGAAGGGGGGAGGGCTGGGCAGGTGGCTCAGTGGTAGAGCGCTTGCCTTGCATGCCTGAGGCCCTGGGTTCCATTCCCCAACACCACATAAGCAAAAAAGAAAAAAAGCCAGAAGTGGCACTGTGGCTCAAGTGGTAGAGCGCTAGCCTTGAGCTGAAGAGTTGAGGGACAGCGCCCAGGCCCAGAGTTCAGGCCCCACGACCGGACCCAAAAAAAAAAAAAAAACAAAAAACGAAAGAAGGGGGGAATGGGCTTAAAACTAACAAGACAGATAGAAGATGTGTGAATCTTTGCACAGGTGCAACCATGTGGTGCTTACCCAGATCAAAATGGCTGATGTCCATATACCCTTATTTCTGTAGGGGACGGGAAGAATGAGGAATTTGGACAGTTGAGAGGCCCTCGGCAATACTTAGGGGAATGAGTAGTCCCAGAGACAAATTGGAATTCAAATGAGCTGAAGATTCCAGCATCCTCTTGTAGTGGGCAAGCTTTCAGTGAGCCCCAGTCCCAAGCTAGGTGCCTGGGATTCCAGGTGGGGCAGAGCAGGGATCATGTTGTCAGCAGCAGGCAGCTCTTCTTGCTGCTAAAGATTCTAGAACAAACCTCTCACTGCTACTGGGTGGTAGAAGCCAGGCCAGGTAAGAGGGTCTTGGATTCTGAACTTGCTTTAAGGCCTCTTAGTTTCCTTTAGGGAGGAGGAGTGTCATTCTCTAAACTCTAACTTGACTGTAGGTCTGAGGTCCCATTTTCTTGCTGGTATGTTTGGAATCCCTGACTTCCCACTACCAACCAGAGGAAACTTGGCTTTTGGAAGGCCTCTGATGATTACTTTTAGCCATGCAAACTATTTCCCTTTTGTCACATAATGTAATCAGGAAAGATACCAGGGGACAACAATCACAGGGCCACCTTAAGGCTCTGCCAGCTTCTCCTTTTCACCTGAATGGTCTCCTCTGGGAAGGTACTTCTCTGAGCCTCTCTTTTCAGGTGTCACATGTGCCCAGTGATCTGTCCTGTCTGCTTTAAATAAGAGTCAGAGAGAGTACCTCTGTTGGGTTTGTTGAGGGCTCTCTCTCTCCCCTTTCCCTTCCCCCTTTCTCTCACACATACACCCAATCTTTTTTAAGCCAGTTTTATTTGAAATCTACAAAGTTGTAAAAAAACTAGCTTTAAAGTACTTGGCATTCCAAAAAGTTATCCTGACTCCTAACTTTTTTCTACCAAGAAATAGAAAAAAAAACAACTAGAGAGGCCATATGCCCTGTTCATAACTCTCTGGTGTTTTCTTCCTCCTCCCATTCTGAATGAAGATGGTCTCTCCATTTCAGCTGCTGCCTCTGGGAGCATTGGGGGTTGGGATGTGACTGTCCCGTGTCCTCAGACAAGTGGTAGTTTCTGGTCAGAGGCCAGCCCAGCGTGCAGCTGGCCCCTGCCACTCAGCACAGAGAGGCTGGCCAGCCAGGCGGAGGCCGCAGTGGGTTCTGGGGCCCATTGGCAGCTCACCCTGTTTCTTGTCTTCCCTGTATTCCCCTTAGGAGATCCCCCGAGAACTCACACTGGACGTTCTGCTGGAGATGGACGAAGCGAAGGCAAAGGAGACGCTGCGGCGATCGGGGGCCAGTGCGGAGGAATGTGGCCGCCTGCAGCAAGCCCTCACTTGCCTGCGGAAGGTGACAGGCCTGGGTATGTAGGACCTTCCTCTGAGCCAGGCCTCAACCTCAACTGTCTTCCCAGGCCTGACCCGTGCCCTGGGAGGTGGGCAATGGAATTGGACAAATCTGACTCTGGGTTTCTAGGGGCAGCTGGTAATGGTTAATGTGGCTCAGAAAGTGTGTGTTGGGCCCTGACTGAGGGAGCTCTCCCAGAATCCTCAGGACTCTGATGTGCATTGGCCTGGCCAGTCTGATGGGAAGCTGTAGCTATTGTGAAGAATCCCCAGCAGGCTCTTTCTTACATGATTTTCCTGCAGCAGGAAGGCCTGCGTGGTGGCTCTGGGCCCTCCACCAGCTTCCTGCATTCCAGTCCCCCCCACCCGTTTTAGCCCTTTCCCCCTCTTCCTCCAGTCCCCACCCCACCAGCAAGCTCTGTGTTCACATGTTAGTGTGGGCTTAGCTTGAGCCAAGCGTGATTAGAAAAATTATGCGGCTTTTCAGCTGAGTGAGCACACTTCCATCCCAGGCAAACTGTAGTTCTGGCATTACTATGGCTCCTTGGGAATTATTCACAGGCTCTGTAAATCTTGCCATGGAAATAGCTCCAAATGCCTGGCTTACTGCTCCTTCTACCACTCAGATATGACATTAAAATGAGCCTAATGAATGGAATTAGGCCCCTTTTAAATTATCTGAGCTCCCTGTGTTATCTCCAGCTTGCCTGAGGCTTAAGGAAGGCACCAAGGCTTATGTTCTGCTAGGTTTCTTTCCCCCCAGAGAGGATTAGATTTTAATTTTCCACTGTATGAAGCCATCTGCACTTGGAGCTCAGCATAGAAAGTTGCACTCTGTTTGGAAAATCTTGTCACTCCAAGTCTCTTGGCAGGTGCTGGAGATACATATGATAGAGGCATGATCATCGGTCTCGTCCCCACATCTTATAGGAGAGATTTGAGCCCAGAGAGGGCAAGGGGTGTGGTCAGGGACACACCATGCTCTGTTGGTAGCAGAGCCAGGATCACCATCAGACCCATCCTCCAATGCTGGCCGAGTTGTTTCCATATAGTGAAAAGTTAAAGGACTTCCCTCCCAAACTGGCATCTTTGGGGTCACTCTACAATCCTCCGTCCCTTATAGCTGTGGTTAAAAAAAATTGTAGAGGAGCCAGCTGGCAAGTGGTAGTAATCCACTGAAATTACAAAGGCTTCTGTCTTTCCATCCAAGGTGCCAAGACAGGGAAATCACTAACTCATTAAACATGGCTGTGTGCCAGACATTTGGCATACTTGGTGGTTGAAGCCTTGGAAGAGGTGGTGTATAGCTCAAAGTGCCTGGGCAGTGCTGAGTGAGGGGTCTGGGTCCCACATCTGGCATAGGCACAGCCAATTTCTTTTGGTTTCAAAGAAACTAGGTAGTTCCACTGTGCTCAGGAGGAAGTCCTGGGAAGGGGACCATTCCCAGGTTCCTTCTCTTTCATTCAGTGTCAGCCCGAGAGGAACCTTAGTGGAGCTTTGAGAGACCTGGCCCAATCCCAGGGCACAATGAAGTCCTTGGTTCTGCTAGCTGTGGCTGTACTTCAATAGTGCCTGCTAGGGACTAGGGTACCAATGTTTCCTCCGTAGGGTCATGCTTTCAGAGCATCTTTATTGCCACCCAACAGAGCGTGGTCCTGTGGCAATGGGCTGTGGATCTGACCTCTGTATGACCAACCAGTTAGGATCCATGGGACCACAGTGCCTCAGGTTTTTCATCTGTTCAATGGGACCAATAGCAATCCCTCTGTCATAGGGTTGTTGTGAAGATGCAGTGAGTTAAGGTGACATGCCTAGATGTTCTAAAAAAGAACAAGTATTAGGCCTGAGGAGAGATGGAAAATGTTGAAATCAATTTCCTTGTGGCCTCTGGTCTTAAGAAAGATGCACGAAAGATAGCTCTCTGTGCTGGTGCATAGAGAATTCCTACTGATACTCTTAATCCTGCATCTGAAGCAGACATTACTAATCAGTTCATGAACTCTTCTACTAGTCAGTCTGTGCAAGTGGCCTTTGATATTGCCTGAACCTCAAGTCCCATCCCTGAACTGACCCTAAGCAAAGATAATTAAAATAGGCAACTTGGAGAATTCAGGACTTAATTCTTTTGGTGGCAGACTTGTCCCCAGGTTTATGGAACTTGTTCTTCTCCTATAAGGGACAATCATACATCCAGTGTCTCCTATAGGCTAGCATATAAGCTGAAGGTCAATTGTGGCTATGGTTCTAAGAAGCAAGCAGCATGGGGACACAAGGGCTGTCTTGGCTACCTAGTTGACTTGAGAGTGTAACTTCTCCACGCAAAAGCTTGTGGGAGGAGGGCTGTTTGCAGATGCATAGCCTTATCAGCTAGGCTCAGCCACCTCTGATGACAGCGAGCTCATCACCTTCAAAGCTGTTCCACTGTATTAAAATCAGTGGAAGAGAAGCATAGTGCTGTGATTGAGGTCGAGGAGTTCATTGCGCATCCTGGGGCAGGGATTTTGGTATCTCTGAATCACAGGGGCCTCACTTGGACAGTGGAGAGAAGAGAGGCACATGTAGGGGAGACAGGGCATACATAGCAACTATCAAAAGGGCTCCTGTGTAGAAGGCCATCTTGTCTTGAGTCAGTCTCCCTTCCTGGCCTTGCTACCCACCAATGAGGATGAGAGAAGAGAGGTGGCTCCTCCTTCCTCCCATAGCCTCTAAAGTCTTCTGCTTACCTTCCACCTTCTAGCATCTCTCGTCTTTCAAACCTGCAGGCTAGTTAAGATACCTGAGGCCCTTCCTAGGCTGACCCAGCTGGCCTGACCCTCGTCTTCATTTGCCTCTCCCTCACTTGAATTGACCTGTCCAGGAACACTGGACTCTATAGTTCTTGGAAGGTGCCAGCCCTCTCTGGCTGGTAGTGGCTCCGCCTCCCCTGCAGAGTCCCCATGCCCCTTTCTGTCCAAGCTCACAGCAGGCCATGTTTTGTGTCCATCACTCTACTGGACTCTAGAAGCATGGGGCCTGTGTCTCCTACCTTTAAACCCTGCAGAAACTTCAATACGTGGACCAGCTAGGCCTTGGATTCAAACCCCTTAAAGCCTTGAAGTCTCAGAAGCCTGGGCCAAAGGGTCATGCTGAGGTCAGATGAAGGTCACCCCTTCAGAAGGGAGTAGCTGTGGACCCCGTTGTTTGCTGATATTTGTTCGGTTGTGTGTCAGTACTTGGGCTTGAACCCAGAGGCTAGGTGCTGCCCCTCTTTTTTCACTCAGGGCTGTTGCTGTATTGCTTCAGCCATAGTTCCCTCCACTCATTTGTTTTTTTTAAAACAGGGTCTTACTATGTAGTTCATGCAGGCTGCCCTTGAACTGATGGCCCTCCTTCCTCACCTTCCTCCCTATCCCCTCTCTACTGCTGGGATTATAGGCATGAACCACCATGCCTGGCTATTTGAATTTTCTTAAAAGTGGAGTCTTTACTTGCTTGTCATACTTTAGTTTCCCTTTCCTAACCTAAGATCATTTACCACACCACTTCTCTTTCTGGGGTAGTCTACTTTGGGGCCACTCTGGGCCCCCTATTGCCCTCCACAGTAGAGGTGGTCGTTGTGCTTAATGGCCTTATGTCACCTGGGTGCCATGGATGGTACTGGGGGAGGTGGGGGGAAAGACCTGGACAGGCCAGGTAAAACCAGGAGGTAAAGCCACACTGCGAGAAACGTGGTCACCACAGTCAGTACGGACTGCTCTGGACACTTGGGACCCCTGAGAGTCCCAATCCCAGCCCTGTGTCACCCCTTGGCCCACAGGAGGAGAGCACAAGGAGGATGCAGGCTGGAGCTGCGTGGATGCTCGGCGTGGAAGTGGCTCGGGGCCTTCTGTGGACACCCTGTCCCCTGCCAGCCTGCCCTGGACCCCAGGGAATGCCCAGCTGGGCAGAGTGGGCAACAGTGCCCAGGGCCCCCGCTCCGTCTCTGTCTCTGCTCTGCCCGCCTCCGACTCCCCAGCCCCGGGCCTTAGTGAGGGCTTCTCAGATACCTGTATCCCCCTGCACGCCAGCGGTCGGCTGACACCCCGGGCCCTGCACAGCTTCATCACACCCCCCACCACGCCCCAGCTGCGACGGCACGCCAAGCTGAAGCCACCTAGGACGCCCCCGCCACCCAGCCGAAAGGTCTTCCAGCTGCTGCCCGGCTTCCCCACACTCACCCGCAGCAAGTCCCACGAGTCCCAGCTGGGGAACCGCATCGATGAGGTCTCCCCAATGAGGTGAGTTTGCACTGCAACTTTCTGCTCATTAAGGAACAGAAAAGAAAAAAAAAGGAGGAGCTGGGAAGGTGGCTCAGTGGTAGAGCGCTTGCCTTGCATGCATGAGGCCCTGGGTTCAATTCCTTAGCACCACATAAAAAGAAAAAAGCCGGAAGTGGCACTGTGGCTCAAGTGGTAGAGTGCTAGCCTTGAGCTGAAGAGCTGAGGGACAGCGCCCAGGCCCAGAGTTCAGGCCCCACGACCAGACCCCCCCCCCCAAAAAAAAAAAAGGAGCCGGGTGCCGGTTGCTCACGCCTATAATCCTAGCTACTCAGGAGGCTGAAATCTGAGGACCAAGGTTCAAAGCCAGCCCAGCCTGGAAAGGCTGAGAGACTTATCTCCAATGAACCACTCAGAAAACCAGAAGTGGTGCTGTAGCTCAAGTGGTAGAGAGCTGGTCTTGAGCTGAAGAGCTGAGGGACAGCGCCCAGGCCCAGAGTTCAAGCCCCACAAGCAACCAAAAAAAAAAAAAAAAAGGAAAGAAACGCAGGGCTGGGAATTTAGCTCAGTGGAAAAGTACTTACTTAGCAAGTACAAGGCTCTGAGTTCGATCCTCAGCTCCGCAAAATAAAAAAAAGGAAAAAGAAAGAAAATCAACCCATATAGGAGTAATGAAAAGCAAAAGGTGCCTCCACCTCTCAGTCTAGGCGGCACACAAACAAGCATTTCAGTCTGAATCCCTCTAAGTACTTTTTGGTACATGTGAAACAAGGCAGGGTAGGCTGGGTTAGGCTTGCAATGATAAACAGCTCCCAGGGCTAGGAAAGTGGCTCAGTGGTCGAGTGCTTGCCTTGCATACATGAGGCCCTGGGTTCGATTCCTCAGCACCACATAAACAGAAAAAGCCAGAAGTGGTGTTGTGGCTCAAGCGGTAGAGTGCTTGCCTTGAGCTGAAGAGTTGAGGGGCAGTGCCTAGGCCCAGAGTTCAGGTCCACAACCGGCAAAAAAAAAAAAAAACAGCTCCCCAAATCCCTGGCTTAAAACAACAAAGGTATGTTTCTCACAGGCTGGTAGAGCAACTACCACCCAGAACTCAATCCCAGTCTCAGCCTTCTGACTTCTAGGATTACAGGTGTGAACTGCCATGCCAGTCTCTTTTCCTTATTTCCAGACTGGGAATAATCTGGAAAAGGAAAAGTTACCTTTTTTTTTTTGCTGATACACAGTATGTAATTAAGCCTACATTGATCCATTGGGGAGAAACCATAAGTGCTCAGGATACAGTTCAAACACAACTGAAGGTAACAGTAACTGCAGGGCAGACTGCATTCTTTATCAACACATAGGAACTTTTTGTAACTATGCTTGATTAGAACTATGTGTAACAAATCCAGAAATAAGGCAGGTGTGCCATATATTGGTACTGAACATATTCAGACTTTTTCCCTTTGTCTTCCTTCCTCCCTCCTCTCTCCTTCCTTCCTTCCTTCCTTCCTTCCTTCCTTCCTTCCTTCCTTCCTTCCTTTCTTCCTTCCTTCCTTCCTTCCTTTCTTCCTTCCTTCCTTCCTTCCTTTCTCTCTCTCTCTCTCTCTCTCTTTTTCTTCTATGTAGCCCAGATTGGCCTTGAACTCAAAATACCACTGTCTCAGCCATCTAGGATTATAGGCATGTACCACCATGCCAGTCTCTTGTCCTTATGTCTTAAACAGTACAGTTTAACAACTACTTACATAGCATTTTTATTGAGTAAATGACAGTCACATGGTCCAAAATCCTGGTGTTGTGGCCCATGTCTCCTGTCTCTGTGAAGATAGACAGGAAAAAGTAGACCTCCACCATTTTTACTCAGTCACCTGGCTTCCTTTCAGGAGCCAAACAGCGTGTCATTTCTGTTTATATACTCCTGTAGCAATTCAGATACACTCACATAAACTTCTTTCATATCATTTAATTTACAGTTTATTTAACTTGTCTTCTACTGGACATTTAGGTCATTGTGGGGTTTTGTTATTGTTGTTGTTGTTGTTGTTGATACAAAACTTGTCCCTGCAGAGGACCCATGTGGTCAGGACTGAAAGGAAACTGTTTTCTTTGTGTGCCTTTTTTCCTTCTTGCACCCCTGAGGATTGGCACACCTGGCTTCCCTCCTTGTCTAGAGGGTTCCTCAGGTCCTGGAGTCTTGTTTGCTGGACTCACTTGCTCCCACGCAAGAGCCTGGGGTTCTGAATCCACCCCTACTCCATTCTTCCCCCCTTCCCCCAATCAGAACCAGCCCTGACATAGGTGACTCTTAGCTCCTTCATTCCTGGAGACAACGGCAGCCTCAGGAGGTGTTCTTACTTGGTCCATCTTGGGGTTCACCTTTGAGTTCTGCACAGCTATTCTCCCTTCCCTCTTGGCCCAGCCATAACCTCTCCAGGATATCCTGCCTAGACCCTGGGCAGGGCTCCCCTACCTATGGGTCACATGACCTAGGAAGACTCTACGAATCTCCATTTTCTCAGCTGAGAAATGAGGTGAATTCTGTCATGCTGGCTAGGTTTAAGTAAGCTCTTCTGTTAGAGTGCACATCACAAGTTCTTATTTAGCTGTCTCCACAGGCATTGCTGGCGTTCCCCTAGTCACTCAGCCTGTCCCAAATTAGGCCTCTGTCCCTTGTCCCAGCTCCTGGCCTTCTCCCTCCCCAGGGTAATAATGGTCTAGGAACAGGATGAGCCAGCATGGTGACATAATCCCTCTCTCTCCTTTTGTCTCCTCCAGGTTGGGTAAGAGTGATTCGTTTTCGTCCCCTCTGCTACCAGAAGTCACATTTGTGTTGCTGTCCCCGTCGGGGGTGGATTTCTCTGACCCTCTCTTAGCTCACTTGGCCTTTCTGAAGTCCAGAAGCAGAGGGCTAGTAACCACTGCAGAAAATAGCTCTGACACCGGTGGCCTTAAAGTGACAGGTGACCTCAGCCCAGCACATGGCTCCTTTCTGAGAAATAAAGACCAGACGGGGCCTGTCTCCACCTTGCCATCTGGAATGCCCTGCATGGCGGATGCTTGCCCTCAGGGCTCCCCTGATACAACAGTGCTCCCAGAAGGAGGCGCTGTCTGCCTGCTTGGGGCTCTCAGAGCCCTGGTAAAGGTCCCCAGACCCCTGTCTCCTCATGGTAACACAGTCCTGATGACAGCTCTGAATCACAGGGTGCATAGCCCCCTGGATGGGCAAGAGGGAGCCCTTTTCCACCCTGAATCTCAGGGCTGGAGTGAGTGTCTCGTACTGCTCTGTGGAGCTTCTCGTGACTAAAAGCAGTGGAGACTGCTGGCACTGGCATCTGAGCAGAAGCCAGAGATGCCTCAGTTTCTCTAAGTTTCACTGCTGAGCAGAGTGAAGGGGCTATGGGTAAGGTATTGGGAGGAGGAAGGATTTGTAACAGTAGTTCTGGAGGGAGCTGCTGCAGGTACCCAGGGAAGGTTGGGGTGCAAAACAGGGCGGGGCGGGCCTTGAGCTAGGATCTGATGGCTCATGCCTGTAATCCTAGCTACTCAGAGGCTGAGATCTGAGGATTGCAGTTCAAAGCCAGCTGGAGCAGGAAAGTCTGTGAGACTCAACCACCAGAGAACTGGAAGTGGCACTGTGGCTCAAGTGGTAGAGCATTAGAGGGACAGCGCCCATGCTCAGAGTTCAAGCCCCATGGAGGACAAAAAAAAGAGGGGAGGGGTCCTTGACAGCTCTTCCTTAGGACAGCCCTGACCCTGTTATTCTACAGTTATCATCTACCCAACAGTGAGACTATTGGGCTTTCAGGGCCTGTGCTCCATCTACACCAAAGAGTGGGGTGCTCTTTGGTAATTATCCAGTCCCTATACCTGTGGCTGATGTTACCAATCAGAGGGTATGCTCTGAGCTAAATGGCTGACCTTTCATCTTCCTGTTGTCTGTGTCTCTTTAGCTGGTGGCTCACACCACTAACAATATGTTTTAGTTGCCTTTGCTTCTGACTAGAGTGGTCAGGAGGAAGTTGGGGGGTGTCTACCCTGTCACAAATGTGCCAGAGAACTGCAGGTGATGGATGACTCTGCTGTAGGTGGACTGTGTCCAGCTGTTCATTCCTGCACAGCCTGCTCAAATCTGTTCTTAAGGAAGTCCCTAGGAAACCCTCCAAGGAGGCAAAGGCCCTTCTCAGCAAAGCAAGGAGGTGCTGGAGACATCTCCAAAGGCTGGGGCTACTGTGTGGCAGGTTGGGCTAGCCCTGTGGAGTTTTACACAGTCCTTGCCTTCCTTCAAGACTAGCAAAGGTGGCTTGTAGAGAAATGTCCTCACTGTCTGCTGGCCAGAAGAGCACAAGTTGAGGTGTATGGATAGCCCTGAGCCCTTCACCGCCATCAAGCTTCTACCTACATAAGGCGTAAACAGAATTAAGGCCCAGAAGCAGGATGTTCATGAGTAAGGGAGTGCAAAATTTCTCTTGCCTTTGCATTTTCTGCCTCCCAAGCCTGCTGTCCACTGAAGCAGAAATCTGCATGAAGGTGGTACAGGCCACTGTGAGATGGCGGCCTGCTCCGATCCCCTGGCTGGCCCACCCCTGTTTCATACACATTGGTTTGTTTGTCTTTGTATCATGAGATGTACCACCCCATTCCATTAGAGCCTATGATCCCTGAACTAGAAGGTCACAGGCACACACCATCAGAGGCAGAGCTTCCTCAGTTTACCCAACCTGGCCTCTGCCCCTGCAGATCTCCAACATGGATCCCCACAGATGGTACGAAGGGACATCGGACTCTCGGTGACACACAGGTAGGTCCAGGTGGGGAGGGGCTACAGAGCTGGCCTGAGTTCCACAGGGTGCCAGGATTCCCTGTTGAGTTGTACTATCTGCTCTAGCTGGTTGAGGCACATGTTGAGGTCACATTGCCAGTGAGATAGAGCTTGAGCCCAGGGGCTTTCCAGGGACTTCTGCCTGGAGCCTTGGCAGTCTGAGATCTGGTACCCAAGATCTACTGTACACCCATGCAGAGAGAAGAGGGCTAGACTAGGCCCTCTCCTATGTTCTCTGAGCCAACTGCCCAAAATCCTAGACCTGCCTAATTCCTGGGGGAGGGTCTTAATGACAAGTGAGCTAAAATTTGTAGACACATTAAAATTGTTCCACCAGTGTGATACATAGTCATTATGTTAATCCTGTGATACTATGCTTTTTAAAAAAATGAACAAAGCAAAACAGTATTCCCCCCACTCTTAGTTCTTCCTGCCCTGAGGACTGGCCTGGGGCTTTATTTTTCTGGAGGATGCTACCCGCTTAAACCCATCCTTGTTTCTAGGTCCCATCTATTTTTTCCTCCATTGTTTTTTTTAAATAGCTTTTAGACTGAAAATATATTCAATAGTCAGGAGGTTTGAAGGGGTGGAGAGAAAGGCTCCCCATTCCTGTTCCTTGGTCCCCACTTGTGCTGTCAACAAATCTCAAGAGTTTCCTAGGTATCCTTCAAGAGATACTTTAGACAAGCAGATCTGACCCGTACACTGTATATGCTATACACTGGTTTATACTTTGCTTTGAAATTGCATGATCTATATAGGACAAAATACACACTGGGATTTATATATGTATGTCTATGTGTCTATATATCCAGATGAAACTACAAAGATATTGCAGCACCCAGGAAGTTCGTTGTCTGGCTCTGTCACTGCTCTGCAGTTCAGATTCAAGTCTGTCAGCATAGATTATTTCTTCCTGTGCCTGATCATATCCTAGCTCACTTTGGTCACTTGGCAATGTGATTTGTAGGTCGTTAATATGCACATGGAAGGAATTTCTTTATTTTATTCTCCAAGCCTTTATAGGGGAAAACTGTACTCCAGTGGGTTACCTGCTGATGGATATATATGGTCATTCTGCCACACGCATGCTGCACGGGCACCTTTGCCTGTTGGGCACCCAGGAAATATGGGGAAGGGAAGTAAATTCTAAAGACTGGCCTTGCCAGTGATGCTCACTGGTGATTAGTTCAATCGTAGCTGGGAAATCTGAGTCCTCAGGGGAACGAGGAGCAAGGGCTCCTGGGGCTCAGCTCTTGGGACTGGGGGTTGGAACCAAATAGTTCCTTCAGTAGCCAGGCTCTGATCTCCATGGGTATGTCCAACCCTGCAGGTTCTCCACCAAGTCCTGGCTGTCGCAGGTCTGCCACGTGTGCCAGAAGAGCATGATGTTTGGAGTGAAGTGCAAGCATTGCAGGTGACAGGCGTGTATGGGAGGGATCCATAGCCCTGGTACTTCATTCTTGGACTTAGGTCATGTCAGAGCTCAGGAAAGTTCTCTTAAGCCTGTAGTTCACAATCCCATCCAGCACAACAAGAGTGATGGGCCCTCTCTAGAGGAGATGTAAGTGAGGCACTCTGGGAAGAAGGGAACTGTTAGGTGGGCTTTGGAGGTTGACAAGTTTACTAAGTAGACCAAGAGAGAAAGAGAATTCAAAGGCAGGGTGGGAAGTAGGGGCTGTCCTGGGAGCCATAAGGCATTCTAAAGTTTCGCTTTACATTTTAGCGCGTGCGCGCACGCGCACACACACACACGATGTGGGAAGTGGACAGGTGATGGTTGAAATGGGGAGAATGAGGTGGGAATGTAGATTCCAGCCACACACTGCTTTACTGTGGTTTCTAGTGAGCAAGGACAGGACAGGGAACAGTGTGAGGTGGGCAGTCTGTCTCTGCTTTCTGGTGGGTCTCCCCTTACGGACGGTGGCCCAGAGTCTCACTTTGCAGCTCACCTAGCCCCACCTTGCTGTGAGACTTGAGGCAAGATGCTTGACCTTTCTGGACTTCATTTGTGTCATTTATACATCGGGGAAGATGAATCCATCAGGACTGCTCTACACATCCATGCTAGTGGATGCGGCAGCTCTTTTGTATGTGTGTGTGCTGGTACTGGGGTTTGAACTTGGAACCTTGTACTCTTTTCCATTCAAGGCTGACCACTAAGCCCCAGTTCCATTTCAGGTTTTTTTGTTTGCCTGGGTTGGCTTTGAACTAGGATCTTCAGATCTCAGCCTCCTAAGTAGCTAGAATTATAAGTGTGAGCCACCTATATTTGGCTGCAGAACCCCGCTCTTTCATGAATGCAAAGGCTCTTCAGGGTCCCCAGGATCCTTTGATGTTGCAGACATTGTCCTTCTAATTACTTTATAAGTTCACATTTGTTTCTGAGTGCAACAGGTCCCCCAGCCTTAGAAAGTAGGCGGGGGGTGAGAGGGTGGGGGAGTGGATGAGTGTGGTGCAATGAGTGATGGCAGGTCCAGTGCAGCCTTCTATACCAGGAGGACTTGGTGGACTTCAGCAGAACTAGGCCAGCTGATTGGACAGAAGCAACTGCTATGAAGGTGGACTGTTGGGCACTTCAGAGTTAATGTTGGTTGAGATGTTGGTAGAAACTGAGGTAGTCATAGACAAACACAATACAGAGCTGGGAGGTACTGGTGGGGCCCTCCAATCCCTGATTTTGTCTTTTTTTTCTACCAGATTGAAATGTCACAACAAGTGTACAAAGGAAGCACCGGCCTGTAGAATATCCTTTCTTCCACGTGAGTGCTGCCTTCCTGTCCTCCACCTCCCAGGATCTGGGCCCATTTCACTTAGTTCCTGCTAACGCTCCCTCCCACTTCTAAAACAGTAGCAAGGCTCCGGAGGACAGAATCTGTCCCCTCAGATATCAACAATCCAGTGGATAGAGCGGCTGAACCGCACTTTGGAACCCTCCCCAAGGCACTGACAAAGAAGGTAAGCCGGTAGTACCCCCTGGTCTGTGCTTCTGTCCAGAACAGCCACCCATATTTCCCGGGGATCTCTTCCTGCTGAACCTTCTCCTGGGGTCCGGCAGGGATGCAGGGCCGGTGCGGCATGCTCACACCGTGACCCTGTGGCCTCGGGACCCTGCCTGAGCCCTGTCGTAGGCATCCTGTTTCTCCCAGACTGTATGTAGGCAACTATGGTTCTCTGAGCCAACATTGCTTGGGTGCTTGTGATGTGCTAGAATCTTCTCAGTGTTTTCAGTGAACCTGCACATAATGTTAGTCCCCCCCCCCCCCGTACCCACAGGGAGATGGAGGCTGGGTCCCGGCTCCTACTTGCCATGCCCCCATGTGATGGGACGGGCCTCCTTTACAGAGGTGCTCAGTCCATGCCTGAGGCCCCACCCACATGACCCAAGCACCTCCTCAAAGTCCCCTTCTTAATGCCAGCCAGGGAGGGTCAGAATTTCAAATGCACATTTTAGGGGAACACAAGCATTCAGATTCTAACAGATCCTCAGCCCTGGGAAAATTGTGAGCTATCCCCTTGGCTGCCTCTGTGTCCTCAAGTGAGCTGCTTGACCTTCTGTGCCTCAGCCTCCTGTTGTGTGAGGTGGAGGTAACAGTGCGAAGGCAATGAGTTTACTCATTACCCCACCATCGCCATCACCTCTTCAGCAGACAGGTGAAATTCCTCAGGAATGCCAACACCTCCCAGGCCCAGCACCTTCGTTACCAGTCTTTGCTCCTGTCCAGTCACCCCTCAATACCAACTGGTCCTCGTGTGCTCACCCCACAGCCTGGCATGTTTGCGCCTCCTCTCTACCCACCAGGACCCACTGTTGAGCCGTTCTGCCCACATCTACTTGGCCCTTGGCCATCTCAGTCTGGAGATGCCAGGGGTCTCCTGGCACCAAAGGCAGCTACCCAGCATTATCATCCCAGTGTCGGTTTTGTGTTTTAACTGGGATCTGAGTCCTCAGTACTTTGGGGACTAGGCCTATGAGGTCCCCATACATCTTCCTCCTCATGGTCTCCCTGTTCCTCGTACAATGCCTGGTGTATAGTAGATGCTGTGTAAACACTTGTGTGATGGTGAATCCATTAACTCATTGAATAAACCTTCCAGTGTCTAGCCCCAAAGCAAGCGGGTGTTGCATGGGAGAGCCAGTCCTCAGCAAACCACTCAAGGAGTCTAGTCGACAGCTGTGGTCTGCGAAAGACCTGCCGGGAGCTGGGGGAGGATAGAGAGGAGGAGCATGGTCCCAGTAGAGGGATTCAGGAAGGGCTTGCCCTGGGAGGAAAATATGAACTGAAAAAAGGTGGACAGATGTGCTGTAGGGGCTGGGCTTTAAGTCCCACCTCCCTCACACGTTAGGTCTGGAGGATTGAGAGCTGAGGGCAGGACCCTGAGGACCCCTAGGCTGACCTTGTCCTTGTCTGAGGGCCTCGGAGGGTCCCAGCTGGTCCCACCTCGACTGCTCTGGTCCTGCAGGAGCATCCTCCAGCCATGAATCACCTGGACTCCAGCAGCAACCCATCCTCCACCACGTCCTCCACACCTTCTTCGCCAGCGCCCTTCCCGACCTCGTCGAACCCGTCCAGTGCCACCACTCCCCCCAACCCCTCACCTGGCCAACGGGACAGCAGGTTCAACTTCCCAGGTACCCCACTTCTGGGCTTTTCTGATTCTCAGATCTCTAACTCCCAGCTGGCCCAGCAGATTCAGAGTGAGATGCCGCTGCTATACTGAGCGCTGAGGTGTATGAAGCACAGTAGGAGGTTGCTGCTGTTGTACACATTTTGTAGATGGGGACACTGAGGTTCAGCGTGAGGAAGTAACTTGCCATGAGTTGTTCAGCTTGTAGCACACAGAGCCAGGACTAAACCCAAGTCCATCTGACCCAGAGCCCGGGGTTTTGGCATGATCCTCATGCTGCTCTCCTGTGGCTTCTTCTGAGCACAGTCACTCAGAGCTGGATTCCGATTAGGGAGAGGACATGCAGGTTCTGCTACCTCCCCACTCTGATTGGGCCAGCTACTCAAAAGAAATTTCTCATAGCTGTTTGTTAAACAAGGAAACTATATGAAGCTGGAATGAGATGTGCCCACTGTACAATTGAGGGCAGTGCTGGCAGAGCATGCCTGATCCAGAGCAACCTACAACACCAAGAACAGGCTGCCCTGGGGTCTGCAGGCCAAGGCCAAGATCTTGGCCTCTTCTGTCCTCAGCTTCCACCTGGCTCAGCCTCTCCAGGTAATGGAGGCAAGCTCACAAGCTTAGGCAGGACTAAGCTGATGACCTAGCCTTCTGGCAGCTCCTTGCTGTCCATCTCAGCCTTGCTTTACTTATGTTTACAGTCCTGGATGGGGAGGGAAGGGATGGTTATGACACCCATTTGCTATGGGCTTAGCACAGGCCCTCTGCCCTCTGCTACCTGTGGGCTCCAGGTCGGTACCCATCACTGGCTCTGAGCCAGAGAGGACAGAGGGAAGGCTGTCCCTGTGCTGTGGACATGCAGCCACCGGCAGGCTAGGCAGCCTTGGGGCCCATCTCTCCCAGGTTCCAGGGGACTTGTTTTGAGGTGGTGACAGCTTGGGGCTTTGTGGGACTGCTTGTCTTTTTTGCTTGCTCTTTGGTCTTGAGGTGCACGTGGTTGATCTCCTGACATGAACTAACGCCTTAAGCACACCCACGCTCCCCCTCCTCTTGAGTGATGGCCCATTTGATTAACCTCCTTCTATTCTGTGCTGTCATTCTTCTGGGAAACTGGCCCTTTACTATACCATCTAGTCTGGGCCTTTTAAAAGGAAGGCTTGTTTGAAAAACAACAGTTGGAGAGAAAGTCCTTTTTACTGATGTCCCAAGAGGGGACTTGGCCCTCATTGACCCCGCTACCCAGGCCTCTCTCTCCACAGTCTCAGGGAGCCATCATGCCAGCCCCTCTGGGACATTAGACATGATCTTTAAGAGTAAACTAGGAGAGCAGTTATGCTCCCCCATTTTCAGTGAGGCACCTGGAGAGGTTAACCATCTTGCCAAGAGCCTAGAGCCTTCCTTGCCAGTGGTGAATTGAAGTTAGAACGTTCAGGGTCAGGTGGGCATGGTGGTGAGCGCCTGAAGTCTCAGCTACTCAAGAGGATGAGTTAGGAGTTGCTTGTGCCCATGCGTTTGAGACCAGCCTAGGCAACATAGAGAAGGCTCTTCTCAAAACCACTCTGTCACACAATAGACAGGGTGGTTTTGTGTGTGCAGGAAATGGGTAGATGAGATGGAGGTACTCTGGGGCTCAGGTGGACTAAAGGGGAGGAGGCTGTTATATACACACTGTTAAGCCTTTTTTAAAAAATTATTTAAGTAATTGTACAAAGGGGTTTCAATTCAGTAAATCAGTTTATAAGTACAGTGCAGGGGCTGGGAAGGTGGCTCAGTGGTAGAGTGCTTGCCTTGCATGCCTGAGGCCCTGGGTTCGATTCCTCAGCACCACATAAGCAAAAAGAAAAAAAAAGCCTGAAGTGGCGCTGTGGCTCAAGTGGTAGAGTGCTAGCCTTGAGCTGAAGAGCTGAGGGACAGCGCCCAGGCTCAGAGTTCAGGCCCCATGACTGGACCCAAAAAAAAAAAAAAAAATAAGTACAGTGCAACCTTTTGTGGTGTGTACCAGTACTGGGGCTTTAACTCAGGACCTAGGTATTATCCCTAAGCTTTTTTGCTCAAGACTTGCAATCTGCCCCTTGAGCCACAGCTCCACTTCTGACTTTTTTTTTCTGCTTATTGGAGATAAGATTCTCAGACTTTTTGGCCCAAGCTGGCTTCAAACCACGATCCTCAGATCTCAGCCTCTTGAGTAGTTACGATTATAGGTATGAGTCACTAGGACCCTTCTTTAGATACAATGCGTCATGATAAACTTTTTCAGAACCAATTTTTCTCACTCATTGTATCTTGCTCCCCTGGCTCATGTACATTTCTCAAAGTAGAAGTGGCTAGAGCTTTCCCAGAGCCATGCACTGCCCAGGGCTCTACAGCCAGGGGGCTGCTGAGATGGGCCTAGAACGCCCCTTTTCTCAGCTGCCCTTTCGCCCCTGGGCTTCCTGCCAGCACCCATTTTCCACAGCTCTCTTCCTCCTTTTTGCATAGCTCTGTCCTTTCCACACCCATCTGGGGTGGGTCAGGTGGAGCAGGTCCCCTGCCCAGTAACCAAGCCCACCATCCTCCCTCCTCCCTGGCTGCATTCGCATTCTGTGTGTGTGACTCACCTCCTCTTCTGTTTAAAGCTGCCTACTTCATTCATCATAGACAGCAGTTTATATTTCCAGGTGAGTCCTCTGCATGATTCCACTAACTGCCACCTGGGTGCTTGAGTCCACCATGGCTGGGCAAGGGAGCAGGGCAGGGGCCTGCCTGGAGGTGGGCCCCCACGTGGGTAGTGTCTTGCTGGGAGGGGACCATGGAAAACTGTCTAGCCTTTTGCATAGAGACTAGGTAACACTGCCAGGTGATGGCAGAAACAGGACTAGAGCCTTCTTTGCAGAATGAGGGGAGAGGACTCTATGCTGACATGAGCATCTGTCACAGTGTCCTCTCTACATAAGGACAACTGGAAAAGTCTGACAGGCTGCATCTGTCAGCAGGCTTTGCCTTTATGAGCCTTCCTGCACGGTACCACCTGCTGGCCATCGCTGGCACTGTCTCCTTATTGCAGAAAGTTTTATAAACTTTCAATAGACAATTTCAGATTTCCTTCCCACAAAAATCTTTTTTCCCCGCCTTTGTATTTGGTCAACATTTGTGTCAACTTTTGATTCTGACTATATTCTTTCCCCCCAAGGAGTTTATAAGATCAGTGCTTTTTTCCTCTGGCAGGAAGTAACAAGCATGACTGGTCTATGTGTTTTAGACAGATCATAGCTATTGTCCAGCCCCTCCCTCTTCCCCCCTCCCCTGCTCCGGTTTGTACTGTCTTGAAGTCACAGTGTTTGGTTATTCCTGGCTTTTCTGTTTTCCAATTCTGGAATTGACTCCTTAAGGAAATTAAGAGAGCTTTTATAGATGTGTGCAGGTCTGCAGTGACCAGGTACCTAGGATTTGGCCCACATAGCTCTGGGAACGACTGAGATGCCTCTGTGGTTCCTATCTGCTTTGCTGTGACTCCCAAGAGCCTACTGGGTACTCTCTCTAGTACTTGTACAGGGGAGTGTCTCCCCCTGCTCCAATTGGGAAAACATGGCTCTTTCTGAAGATACAGTGAAGAAAGGGGTTCTTTCTTAAATAAACATGAACACTGTTGGGAGAAGAATGCAGAATATGTTCTGACCATCTAAGGGGTTCCAAGACATTTTATCCTCCTTCCCTCCTCCTGGATGCCATGTCTTACTGACTCCCACTCCTGTATGCCTTCTATGGAAACTGAGCAATGGAAGTGGATGGAAATGCCAGGCCACCCTGCAGTCAGTGGAGACGACATGATGGTGACTGAGGAGGCCTTAGCTGAGGATCCTAAGGCCTGGGGTCCCCTGAAACTACACAGGATGTCAGACATATGTGTGCCTTGCTCTGATAAGAAGGCCCACAGCTTGTATCCGATTCCCCACAGATCTCTGCCAGGACCCAGAGATGTGTGTTAACTTCTCATCTCATTGACCATCAGACAGAGCCAAGTGGAGGGGGATCTGTTGGCAGAATGGGATAGAGAGACAGAAGAAGGGCTACTAATAGCCTGAGCTGCTGCTGCTTCCAGTCTCTCTCCTACTGAGGCAGAGAAGGGAGAAGCCTGGGACAGTCCCGGCCAGCCCTGAGCCACCAGTCTCCTAGTAGCACTTCAGCTTCTAACAGGGCCAATGGTTGACCATCTGTTTCTGTGACCCTGGGTCTTTGGCTTGGGTCCTCCACGGCCACCTGTCCTGGGATCCTCTAATGTGTGGACTAGGAATTTTATCTTTTCCCCAGAGCTATACCACCAGGTCCCCCCAGTCCCAGAAGCTGAGGGGGTGGGTCCTCTGCCTGGATATTCCCAGCAGCTGCACTAGGCACCAGGTGTCACTAGAGAGCATGGGAATTGTGTCTTCAGGGAAGGCCTGTCTCTGCAGAGGTAGCTGTGGCCCAGCTGGCTTTTGCCACTTGCCATTAGGCCACAGAGCAATGGCGGCAACAGAAAGGTGGAAGCTCAGCCCTGTTTCAGGACATGTTTGTGTGCACCAGACTCAAGATTGAGGAGGCCAAATCATGACAGGCTGAGGGACAAGTATAAGCTGTTCCAGATGGCAGTGGCCAGCGAGCTGTGACAGCTACTAGGAGAGAGACTTCCTTGGTGTGCTGGGCTCCAAGCTGGAATTTTTTTGGGGGGTGCAGAAAAGCAACCTCACACAATTGTTTTTGTCATTTGTTTCCTCCAGACATTTCGGCCTTTCCACAATCAGCCCCACTCCCCAGCACAGCTGACACTACTCGGTATGTACCCCAGTGCTGAATTTGAATTCTCTTCTGTGTGGACCTAAATCTCTTCACACCTCCCAATCCTACCCCTAAATCTCTGGCCTTTGGGCTCTGAGTGTTACCCTGTACCTGGCATAGCTCTTGCCTTTAATCCTAGCTACTGACAAGGCCAGTCAGGGGTGTGTGTGTGTATGTGTGTGTGTGCTCATTAACTCATCCAGAGTATTTATTACCCTCATAACAATGCAGTGAACATTTTGTGGAGAAAGCTTGTGATCCAGTAGGGTGGACACAGGCAGAATTTAAAAAAAAAATCTGTGACTTTTTTATTTTTATTTATTTATTTTTTGTTGGTTGTAGGGCTTGAACTCTGGGCCTGGGTGCTGTCCTGGAGCCCTTCAGCTCAAGGCGAGCACTCTACCACTTGAGCCACAGCGCCACCTCTGGTTTTCTGGTGGTTTATTGGAGATAACAGTCTCATGGACTTTCCTTCCTGGGCTGGCTTTGAGCCATGATCCTCAGTTCTCAGCCTCCTGAGTAGCTAGGATTACAGGCATGAGCCACTGGTGCCTGGCTTGTAAGATTCTTATCTCCAGTCAACCAGCAAAAAGCCAAAAGTGGAGTTGTGGCTCAAATGATAGAATGCTAGCTTTGAGCAAAAAAAGTTAAAGGCCCTGGGCTGAGAAGGTGGCTCAGTGATAGAGTGCCTGCATTGCATGCATGAGGCCCTGGGTTTGATTCCTCAACACCACATAAGCAGAAAAAGCCAGAAGTGGCGGTATGGCTCAAGTGGTAGAGCGCTAGCCTTGAGCTGACAGCACCCAAGCCCAGAGTTGAGGTCCCATGACTGACCAAAAAAAAAGTTAAAGGTCCTGAGTTCAAGCAAGCCCCCATACCAGCAAACAATAATAATAACCATAACAGTAAAAAGAGCCCTGTTTTGGGAGCCTGTTCTCCAAATCAGGCTGGGCTAAGCTTTCATGCTGCAGGTCTCACAGAACAACAGAAGGTATCATCCCTAGTGGGCTTTGTGGCTCAGTGAGGTTAAGTAACACAAGGTCAGTCAGGGAAGAAGTGACGAAGCCAATCTCAAAGGCAAGGCTGCCTGATCCCAAGTCCTGTGTGCTCCGAATCCCATAGTGAAGTGTCAGATTTGAAAGGGGCCCTGATAGTTACTGCCTTCCCTCACCCCCCATTCTGTCTGTAGTCAGCCTGGAGGGACAGCCAAGGCAGGATGAAGGGGCAGGCCTGGTCTTCAGACTCCTGCCTGTGACCACAATGTCCACACTGCTATGCCCTCAGCCAAGTGTGTCATGATAAACATCTAGAAGTGGCCTTGAGTCTCACTGGGTGAGTCCCTTGCCCAGCCCATGGTCCCCTTGACAAAGCCTGTTTTATTCCTAGGCTCGAGGAGCCACCCAAAGCAGATGTATCGGAGGTACATGAAGTAGAGGTGAGTGCAGGTGGCATGTGCATCCACGGGAAGCCTCCTCCCCCCTCAGGATGGGGCGGTGTGGGCAGTCAGCCTGAGTGTTCCCAGGTGCTTACTGCAGCAGAGGTTGGCAGATGGGGACAGCAGGGAGGAATGAAGACTAACTGAAGTAAGCACTTCTCTCTGCCTGGGGACCCATTCAGTCAGCCTCTGATGAAGTCAGACATCTCTGTATTGTCAGAGCTTGCCAGGTGATTCTGATTGGAACCAGGGTCCAAAACCACTGTCTTGATCCTTGAACAAAGCTGAGAACTGAGTCTGGGTCCCTGTAGTGGAGCGGGAATTCGAGAACATGGCTCTTGCCAAGGGAAGAGGCAGAAACTGTGTTTAAATAGGAGAATACCACAGGGATGAATACAGTTCAATTCTCCCACAACTAGGATGTTAGTGCTGTTTCCTAAGCAATTAACTATTGCTCTTCAGCCCATCTTAGATCTTGCAGTGTTAGCAAGACACAGGGCCTCAGTGTCCCACATTTTATGAACAAAGACACTTGAGGTCCAGGGATGCTGGGTGACCAGCCTGCTGTCCACAGAAAGCCAGTGCAGAGCTACAGATAGCCCAGGGTCATATCCTCTCCTCCCTCACCTGGTGAGAGCCATCTGCCCCATTCTCCTTTCAGGCTGAGGAGCCAGAAGGTGGCAAGTCAGAGGCAGAAGATGATGAGGATGAATTAGATGACCTTCCCAGCTCCCGTCGACCCTGGCGGGGTCCCATCTCTCGCAAGGCCAGTCAGACCAGCGTGTACCTGCAGGAGTGGGACATCCCTTTTGAGCAGGTGGAGCTGGGCGAACCCATTGGGCAGGGCCGCTGGGGCCGAGTGCACCGGGGCCGATGGCACGGCGAGGTGGCCATCCGTCTCTTGGAGATGGATGGCCACAACCAGGATCACCTGAAGCTGTTCAAGAAGGAGGTGATGAACTACCGGCAGACACGGCATGAGAACGTGGTGCTCTTCATGGGTGCCTGCATGAACCCACCCCAACTGGCCATCATCACCAGGTAAGCTGCCCCATCCCTGGCTGGACATGGGTGGGGGGGTGGGCAGCTAGCCTTCTCCTCCCTGAGAGCCCTGGAACCATTCTGGAAGGAAGTAAAGGATTTTAGAGAGAGATACAAAGAAGAAAACAAAAAATGGAATATAGTTTCCCCACTCACAACCTCACTGACATTGAAAAACAAAGCCAGGGATAGGGGTTGCACATCTGTAATCCCAGCTTTTTAGAGGCTGAGGCAAGAGTCACAGCCAGTTGCTTCGCTTGCCTGGTTCTCATTCTCTGAGACTTCAAGACTCTAGAGACTTTTCCTAAAAAGTCCTCCTTCTTGGGTGACATTGTCCAAAAAAGAAATGCACTCCTTACCTGACTTATATAACTGTAACCCCTCTGTACATCACCTTTATGGTAACAATTTAAAAAAGAAAAAAGCTGGGCCCTGCTGGCTTACGCCTGTAATCCTAGCTACTCAGGAGGCTGAGATCTGAGGATTGTGATTCAAAGCTAGCCCAGGCAGAAAAGTCTGTGAGACTCATCTCCAACTAACCACCAGAAAATCAGAAGTGTGGCACTGTGGCTCAAAGTGGTAGAACACTAGCATTAAGCAAAAGAGCTTAGGGATGGGCTGGGAAGGTGGCTCAGTGGTAGAGCACTTGCCTTGCATGCTCGAGGCCCTGGGTTCGATTCCTCAGCACCACATAAGAAAAAAAAAAAGCCGGAAGTGGCGCTGTGGCTCATGGTAGAGGGCTAGCCTTGAGCTGAAGAGCTGAGGGACAGCGCACAGGCCCAGAGTTCAGGCCCCACGACCGGACCAAAAAAAAAAAATAATAATTAAAAAAGAGCTTAGGGATAGCACTCAAGCCCTTGAGTTCAAGCCCCAAGACCCAAATTTGTAAAAAGTTCTTTTTCATCCTGGCTTTAGGATATGGTCCTAGTGAACACCCCAGAGTATAAGCTCCTTTCTCATCATCACACTTACAGTCTGACAGCCACCCTGTTGCCTTTTCCCTTCTCGATGGCAGGACAGGCCTGGGGAACAAGTGTGTGTGTGTGTGTGCGTGCGTGCATGTGTGTGTGTGTCTAATCATCAGGCCAAGTCCCAGCTAGAATCAGTGTTGGGCTTGGTTAAAGAACACATATTCTAGTCAAGCTGGTGGTGCATGCCTATAATCTCAGCTACTTAGGATATGGAGATCAGAAGGATCTGGGTTGGAAGCTAGGCTAAGCAAAATTTAAGTGAGACCTCATCTGAGTCAAAAGCCAGGCATAGTTGTGTAGCTCCTAGCTATGGGGAAGTGTAGATAGGCAGATTGTGGTCTAGGCAGCACTCCTCTCCCTCAGAAAAAAAATCTTAAGACCTTATCTAAAAAAATATAACTAGGGGGCTGGGGGTTTAGCCCAGCGGAAGGGCGCCCACCCGGCGCGCGCAAGGCCCTGGGTTCGGTCCTCAGCCCTGGGGGGGGGGAATATATATATAGAGAGAGATATATATATATAACTAAAGCAAGACCTGGAGGTGTAGCTCAAATAGTAAAGTGCTTGCCTGGCTTGTGCAAGGACTTGGGTTCAAACCCCAGCCACCTTCCCCCCTCCCCCCAAATAGATACATACACACATTCTTTGGCTCATATAAAGGATAGAAAGTCCTCAAAAAGCAGCAAGCACAGCCAGGTACTAGTGGCTCATGCCTGTAATCCTAGCTACTCAGGAGACTGAGATTTGAGGATCACAGTTCAAAGCCAACCCAGACAAGAAAGTCCATAAGACTCTTACCTCCAGTTAATCACCCCAAAAAACAAAAATGGAGCTGTGGCTCAAAGTGAGCACAAATACTCAAGGATAGTACTTAGGCCCATTCAAGCCCCCAGAACAACACACACACACGCACACACGCATGCACGCACTCACGCACACACACACCAGCAGGCACAACTTCCTTATTGGCTCCACAGGAGTGAGGTCAGGTTGCACCTGCCCCAGACCTCTTGACTGTACCCCACCATTCTCTACAGCTTCTGCAAGGGGAGGACCTTACACTCCTTTGTAAGGGACCCCAAGACATCTCTGGACATAAACAAGACAAGGCAGATCGCTCAGGAGATCATTAAGGTAAGAGCACATCCAGCAGGAGGGTGGTTTCCTTCCTGCTCATCCCGGGGTCCTTGCCTCCTCCTCCTGACACATCATTCCCTGTCATCTTGGCTTTGCACTGTTCTGTCTTTCCTAGCTGGGTTCCTCAGGGTGGGTCCCTGTCTCTTCCCCTCTGAGTCTCTCCTGTCCACTAGGTCAGCATTAATAAAACTGAATTTGTTGAAGAAGAGCTCAGCAAACTCTAAAGACAGTATGATGCCTGGTCACACAAGCTGTGAGACCTTGGACAGGTTGTTTTAGCCTCTCTGGGAAATGGATCAGTGCATAGACAAAATGCAGTTATCATCGGAGCATTTGGCACTGTCCTGTGAGGAATTGCTATAATCCATGGTGGGAAATGGGAAGCTGTTTATTTCTGGGGCACAGAAGACCCCACTTGCTACCTTCAAGTTTCCAAAGCCAAGTTACTTGAAGGCAAGTCCTTGGGTGCAGGAACTCAGGCAGCTTCTCTGTCATCCTTTTAAAAAGCAATTAAAAAAGAGTGAAATAAAAACTTATATATTGCTTTAAAACAATAAACAGATCCAAGTAAAAACTAGGGCCTGGGAAATGGTTCTGTGGCTCAAGTGGTAGAGTGTTAGCCTTAGCAAAAAAGTGCAAGGACCTAAAAGTCTTATTCCTGACATAAACGGACACTCTACCAGGCCATATCTGCTATATCCCACAGGATATATGCTTTGGTATTCATTGAAGTAGAACATTCCAATTCTATCAACAGCCAGTGGCAATGGCATCTTGATCCTAATTCGCTTCTTTTCTTGGGAATTTCTTTGTTCTCGTCCTTTTGCCCTTCTTTGAGAACTGCTCTACTTTTTTAGATGTATGTTTTGTTTTTTGGGGGGGGATAATAGGGGGAAGGTCGGTCTTGGGGCTTGAACTCCAGGCCTAGGCGATATCCCTCAGCTCTTCAGCTCAAGGTGAGCACCCTACCACTTGAGCCACAGCACCATGTCCAGTTTTCTGGTGGTTTATTGGAGATAATAGTCTCACGGAGGGCTGGAAAGGTGGCTCAGTGGTAGAGTGCTTGCCTTGTATTCATGAGGCCCTGGGTTCGATTCCTCAGTACCACATAAGCAGAAAAAGCCAGCAGTGGCGCTGTGGCTCAAGTGATAGAACACTAGCCTTGAGCTGAAGAGCTGAGGGACAGCGCCCAGGCCCAGAGTTCAGGCCCCAGGACCAAGTTAAAAAAAAAAAAAAAAGTCATGGACTTTCCCGATCAGGCTGGCTTTGAACCGTTATCCTCAAATCTCAGCCTCCTTAATAGCTAGGATTACAGGCGTGAGCCACCAGCACCTGGCCTGGATATATTCTCTAAGTTACCTAGCTCCTTTCTTTTTTTTTTTTTTGTCAGTCGTGGGGCTTGACTCTGGGTCTGGGCACTGTCCCTAAGCTCTTTAGCTCAAGGTGAGTGCTCTATCACTTTGTGCAACAGTGCCACTTCTGGTTTTCTGGTGGTTTATTGAAGATAACAGTCTCATGGACAAAGCCTGCCTGGGCTGGCTTTGAACTGTGATCCTCAGGTCTCAGCCCCCCCTACTCAGGGGGCTCCTTTCTTATATCTTGTTACTCTGCTTATACCAGTCCACTAAATTCTTGATAAAACCTGATTCCATGTGCTCCTTTCATTTTTGATTAAGATCCTAGTTCACATATTGCTTCAATTGTTATGGTTTCTTGAGTTGTAGTGCTAGTCAGCCCAAATAATAATTTCATTAATAAACTATTTCTTAATTAAAAAAAAAAGTTCAGGGACAGTACCCAGGCCCTAAGTTCAAGCCCTAGGACCAACACACACATGCGCGCGCGCGCGCACACACACACACACACACACACACACACACACACACACACACACACACGAACTTTGTGAGTAGGATTTCCTCTTTCTTTACTTCTTTTTACTTGCTTGTATTAAAAAGCCATCTACTACCAACTTCCCCACAGTTTTTTTCCACTATTGTCCCTTTCCTTCCTTTTCTCCTCCCCACTGCTCTTCCTTCCTCCTTTCGCTTTCTTCTTCCTTCCCTTTCTTCCACTGTCTGCTTTGTGTATGTATTGTCTTTAGGAAGGAATAGTGCCAGGCACTGGTGACTCAGGCCTATAATCCTAAGTATCTAGAAGGCTGCCACTGAGTCTGGATGTGGTGGTTTGTGCCTCTTATCCCCGCAGGGGGGTGAGGTGCACAGGGACTAGGTGCGAGGCATGCCTGTCATCCTAGCTTCATAGGAAGCCTGACAAAGGTGATTGTGCCCTGAGCAATAAGTGAAACCCTATCTCAAAAATAACCAGCACAAATCAGGGCTGGAGGCCTGGTTCAGCAAGCCCAAGGACAGTTCAAACACCAGTCTTGTCCACCTCCCTCATCCCCCCCAAAAAAGGGAAAAGATAATCATAATGACATCTGTGTACAAACTAGGATTTCTCATGATGGTTCCCTGTGGCTAAGCTGATGACTTATACCAATGAGGATCAAAGCCATGGATACCCCCCCTCCTGTCTTCCCTGTGGTCTGTCACTTTTCAGGATGGCCAGTAGGAGCTACAGATAGAATGATTTTGATTTTTCACAGCAAACTTGGAAGTCCTCACTCCCTGTGTCTGCCCACTGAGTCATGCTGACTATCCATCTGGCTGATGGCAGGGCCTAGGAGGAACATGACTGAGGGATTTCTGCCAGGCCAGAAGCCACCTCTCTGCTGGCTTATCTTTCCTGCCAACAACCCCAGCCAGTATGGCTGATCTTTATATACTTCTGGATCTCCCTGCTCCACTAGTCACCTGGCCACACATCCTGCCTTATCTAAGGTGACTGTGACTAGATAGTGGCCTGGAAAGAGCTAAGCTGAGCTACAAACTGCTGTGTGGCTTGGGCCGGTGACTTTCTCTTCCTACGCCTCCTTGCCCCCTCTGTAAAGGGGTTTATGTATTTATAAGATCGTGAGGATGAAATGAGCCTGGTGCCTGACCAAGAAAGAAACTCAGTCGCCACCACTCATGTTTACCCTGCCCTGATGCGAGACTCCCATCTTCCAGGGCATGGGCTATCTTCACGCCAAGGGCATCGTGCACAAAGACCTTAAGTCTAAGAACGTCTTCTATGACAATGGCAAGGTGGTCATCACAGACTTCGGGCTGTTTGGGATCTCGGGTGTGTTCCGAGAGGAGCGGTGAGTTGGTCTTGGGTATATGGATGGGACAGGAGGAGTGGGTGGGCCCAGGCTCAGGGCCCTGTGGCTGTGCCACTGAGGAGTGGCACACCCTGTAGGGAAGGACCCATGGATTCCATCCTAGTGGTTCTGGTCTAGAATCCAGCCTTGGGAGAGGTTCAGGTCCTTTGTGGCTCTTGATTCTCACACTGACCCCCATGGGATCTATGACCTATCTAACCTGGCTGCTCCATCAATTTAGGTGGGGGGCCCAGGGTCACATCCCTACATCAAGAAAGAATGCTCAATTTCATGTGATGCTGGGTGCCGGTGGTCATGCCTGTAATCCTAGCTACTCAGGAGTCTAAGATCTGAGGATCTTGGTTCAAAGCCAGCCCAGGCAGGAAAAGTCTATGAGACTCTTATCTCCAATAAACCACCAGGAAACGGGAAGTGGCGCTGTGGCTCAAGTGGTAGAGTGCTTTCCTTGAGCTGAAGAGCTGAGAGACAGTGCCCAGGCCCTGAGTTCAAGCCCCACGACCAACAACAACAACAAAAAAGCCGGTGCCAGTGGCTCATGCCTGTAATCCTAGATACTCAGGAGGCTGAGATCTGTGGATCATGGTTCAAAGCCAACCTGGGCAGGAAACTCCCTGAGACTCTTATCTCCAATAAACCACTAGAAAACTAGAAGTGGTACTGTGGCTCAAGCAGTAGAGGGCTTGCCTTGAGATAAAGAGCATAGGAAGAGTGCTCAGGACCAGAGTTCAAGCCCCACGACTGACACCAAAAAAAAAAAAATTCATGTGATGTTGAAGGGACTGGAGAGATGAGGAAGCCCTGGAAGAGTGTGAGGCAGGGCAGGAAGCTACCAGACCAGTTTGAATAAGGGTTCAGCTCCTGGGTAGCTCCCTGCTACCATCCTCAGACTTCCTTCCTAGCTGAGCTCCCTGCTGTTTTCTGAGATGGTTCCCCAAAGTGGAAGTGCCCATCAGATCAGCGTGATGCACTTGGTCACTTGCTCTGCACTATATGGGGGTAATCTTGCTGGCCAAGCGGTGGGTGTATGCCTGGCAGTCCTCTGTTGCATGCTGAAAGCCTGTTCTGGTCCTGGCCTCCAGGCGAGAGAATCAACTGAAACTGTCCCATGACTGGCTGTGCTACCTGGCCCCTGAGATCGTGCGGGAGATGACCCCTGGGAAAGATGAGGACCAACTGCCATTTTCCAAAGCTGCTGATGTCTATGCATTTGGGTGAGTAGGTACTCAGAGACCAAAGTGTAGCCCCGAGAGATCCCCTGGTGATTGTTGGGGCAGGGAGCCTGGCCTTTGGAACGGAAACAAACCTGGTCCTGAACTGTGATTCTGCTGCTTGTTGGCTAAGTGACCATGTCCTGACCCTCTGCCTTCCAGCAGAGGGCTCTAACAATAGCACCTCCTACAGGATGGTTACACAGGCCTTGGACCTTAACTAACTGGGTCTTCACAGGACTGTTTGGTATGAGCTACAAGCAAGGGACTGGCCCTTTAAACACCAACCTGCAGAGGCCTTAATCTGGCAGATCGGGAGCGGAGAAGGAGTGAAGCGTATCCTGGCCTCTGTCAGCCTGGGGAAGGAAGTCAGTGTGAGTAACCACCTGCTCTGGGGGTGGGAAAAAGTATTGGACAATGGGCTGGGGCCTGTGACCCAGCTCTCTCGGAAAGGATCCCCAAGAGTCTGTACTACTTGAAGAGATCAAAAGCATACTCCTGGGCTGGGAATGTGGCTTAGTAGAGTGCTTACCTAGCATTCACGAAGCCCTGAATTCGATTCCTCAGTACCACAGAAATAGAAAAAGCCAGAATTGGCACAGTGGCTCAAGTGGTAGAACACTAGCCTTGAGTACAGAGAGGCTGAGGGTCAGAGCCCAGGCCTTGAGTTTAAATCCCAGGGCTAGCAAGAAAAAAAAAAATACTGCTGGGCACTGGTGGCTCAATCATGTAATCCTAGTTACACTGGAGGCTGAGATGTGGAGGATCATGATTTGAAGCCAACCCAGACAGAAAAGTCCATGAGACTTCATCTCCAAAATAATCACCAAAAGGCTGGCTGAAGGCATAGTTCAGATAGTAGAGCACCAGCCAAGCAAGCCAAGTGAGTGCAAGGCTCTGAGTTCAAATGCCAGTATTGGCAAACAAACAAACATAGTTACTGAAATTGGAGAAACACAGGGAAGCATAAAGAAGAAAATGAAAACTGTCCACTGTCACCTCATAGTCAACTCTTGTCTGAATTTCCTTCTAGTCTTTTTTTTTTTTTTTTGTTAGTCGTTGGGCCTGAACTCTGGGCCTGGGTGCTGTCCCTAAGCTCTTCAGCTCAAGGCTAGCGCTCTACCACTTGAGCTACAGCGCTACTACCAGCTTTTTCTGCTTATGTGGTGCTGAGGAATCAAACCCAGAGCCTCGTGCTTGCCAGGCAAGCACTCTACCACTGAGCCACCTTCCCAGCCCCTCCTTCTAGTCTTTAAGATAATTATTTAAATTGACTTCTAGGATAAAAAAGTAATACCATAAATATTACTTACATAAAAGTTTATAGTTTAGCCAGGTGCTGGTGGCTCACACCTGTAATGTTAGCCACTCAGGAGGCTGAGATCTAAGGATCACAGTTCAATGCCACCCCGAGCAGAAAAGTCCATGAGACACTTATCTCCAATAAACCACCAGAAAACCAGCAGTGGAGCTTTGGCTTGGATGGTAGAGCACTAGCCTTGAGCTGAAATGCTGAAGGACAGCGCCCAGGTCCTTCTCAGTGAACTTCCACATTTTTTTTTTTTTTGTCATGGGGCTTGAACTCTGGGCCTGGGCTCTGTCCCTCAGCTCTTCAGCTCAAAGCTAGCACTCTACCACTTGAGCCACAGCACCAGTTCTGGTTTTCTGGTGGCTTATTGGAGATAAGAGTTTCATGGATTTTCCTGCCCAGGCTGGCTTTGAACCATGATCCTCAGATCTCATCCTCCTGAGTAGCTAGGATTATAGGCGTGATCCACCAGTGCCCAGCAAACTTACACATCTTTTACTGTCTTTTGTGTCTTCTGTCGTTAGCTACCAGATCTAACACCTGGGGAATTTTCCTGATTTTTGTCTCCAAACATGTCTCATATCTTGGTTTGGAAATTATATTTGCATTGTCAAGCCCTCCTTCGTGTGTGTGTGTGTGTGTGTGTGTGTGTGTGTGTGTGTGTGTGTGTGTGTGTGTGTGTGTGTGTGTGTGTGTGTTTGCCATCACTGGTGCTTGAACTCAGTTATTTGAGTTACAGCTATGTGAGCCACCAGCACCTGGCTTAATTACTTTTTTTTTTTTTTTTGCCAGTCCTGGGGCTTGAACTCTGGGCCTGGGCGCTATCCCTGAGCTTCGTTGTGCTCAAGGCTAATGCTCTACCACTTGAGCTGCAGCACCACTTTCAAATCTTTCTGCATAGTTTATTGGAGGTAAAAGTCCCACAGCCTTTGCTGTGCAGGATGGCTTTGAACCATGCCCTCATATTTCAACCTCCTAAGTAGCTAGGATTACAGGTGTGAGCCACTGGGGCCCAGCTGGTGAATTTTTTTTTTAATTGTACCATGGTCTTGTTTTATGATAGAGTAGCTGCTTCACACACCTATGTTATCCAGAGACAGGGCTTTGGTCTGCTCACCTTTGGTCTCATCTGATTTGCCTATTGCAACAGGCAAGCCCATGCCATCCAGTTGTATTTAACAACGAAAACCTCGGGGCTAGGAAGGTGGCTCAGTGGTAGAGCGCTTGCCTTGCATGCATGAGGCCCTGAGTTCGATTCCTCAGCACCACATAAGTAAAAAGAAAAAAAGCCGGAAGTAGTGCTGTGGCTCAGGAGGTAGAGCGCTAGCATTGAGCTGAAGAGCTGAGGGACAGCGCCCAGGCCCAGAGTTCAGGCCCCATGACTGGACCCAAAAACAAAAACAAACAAAAAAAAAACCTCTGGTGCTCCTCTCAGTAGGCTGGTACTTTGGACTGATCCTATGCCCAGGCCTGACTCACACTCAGGTGGTTGTTCTGCATAGCAGGGCCCCAGAGTGCCCTGCACACGCCCATGGATCCTGAGAATAGACAGCAGATTGCCACCGTGAGTCTTGGGAGTGGTCGGGACAGCTGTTCTGGGCTCAGCAGCTGCCTCCATATCTAGTCCTCCCTTCAGCCTCCATTTCTGACAACACTGAGGCTCCTCCACTCCACAGTAGCCCCAACTCCACATCTTCTGAGCACCTAGCAATTCGCCAGTAAAAACTGTGCCTTCAAAAACCATCCAGGGCTGTGAATGTGGCTTAGTGGTAGAGTGTGCCTGACGCCCCAGGTTCGATTTCTCACTACCACATCAACAGAAACAAATGTAAGTGGCACTGTGGCTCAACTGATAGAGTGACTGCTTTGAGCAAAAAGAGCTCAGAGACATGCTCACAGCCTGAGTTCAAGTCCCAGGATTAGACAAAAAAAAAGCCAAAAAAATTTGTTGGGACCAAAAACCATCCATCCTCTTTTCTGATCTTTCTGTTCAGGTTAGTTGCTGTTATTGGGGAGGAAGGTCTAGGGAAAAGAGCGCATAAACTAACGCAGTTCATCCATGGAAGCCTGGGAGTTCTTACGGGATAATTACTTCTCAGCATTTTGTGTCCACCGGGAGGTCGCCAGCTCTGGCCCTCGAGGACAGTCAAGGGACCCTTTGTGAGTGCCCCAGCACACACACCACTGATGGCAGCTCCATTTTCAGGAGATCCTGTCCGCCTGCTGGGCTTTTGACCTTCAGGAGAGACCCAGCTTCAGCCTGCTGATGGACATGCTGGAGAAGCTGCCCAAGCTAAACCGGCGGCTCTCTCACCCCGGGCACTTCTGGAAGTCAGCTGAGTAAGTACCCTTTAGTGAGCCAGACATGCCATCTAGGCTCTGAGGTCTTAAAGGACATCCTCTGTTATGTCCATGCCAGAGTTTGATCTGAGGAGCACAGAGGAATGCCAAGGTTCCATTGGTCCAATGGGTGGAGGACTCCATGACAGGCATGCACCTCCAGTTTGCTCTGTGAATATCTATCACTGTTACCAGACCAGTACAGATTTTGGGCCCAGACTGGGCCAGAGTGAGTTAGAGGCCAAAATCACCTAGATACTGAGAACCCCACACAGCAGGCTATATCAGTACCGCTAAAGATGGCACTGACTCAGACAGCCATTGATAACGAAGAGCTAGCCACCTGTTTGGGACCACATCACAACACATGTTGTAGCCTGGATGCCACAGCCCTTCCCTTCTTAATTACAGGACCCTTTGCACCAAGCAACAGGGCTGTCTCCCCTCTCTTTCTTGTTCCTTTTCTCCTTTGTTTCTCTTGCCACTTCTCCAAGAATACTCTGGACTCAAGGGAAGGGGGAAAAGCCAGATGTCAATGGCTCATGCTCAGAATACTCAAGAGTAAGATCTGGATGATCATAGTTCAAAATGAGCCCACGCAGAAAAATTCTTGGGAATCATCTCCAATTAACTAGCAAAATGCTACACTGGTGGCGTAGTTCAAGTGGTAGAGACTGGCAGGGGGGAAAACAAACTTCTTTGAAATGGGCAGATCCTCTTTTAGCTTGTAAAAATATTGGCTTGCATACTTTATCAAGTCCTTTCTCAAAGAGAGGCCCAGCAGGAGTCCCCCAAACGAGATATAAGAATTCACTCAAAAATACAACCAGTTGTGGGAAATCTGGAGGACCAGGTAGGTAGGTTAGTGAATGCTCTATCTTATGATGCAGTACGAGGTTCAGTATTGGTCAGAGGCTAGCACCGGTCGAGCACCCCTCACCTACAATGCTATGCATGCCTGCTACACACCTGAGGATACCCAGATGATGGCCGCACTGGGCCCCTACCAAGAAGGACTTTACTGTTCAGCTGGGATCAAGATGAGCAGACCCACTGAAGCAAAGCCTCCACATGGCCAGGCTCTGTCTCATCCTGTCTGTAGCCCGGTGCTGAACACAGTGCCAAGAGCACTTGGCCAATAAATGTGTGAATGAATGTGCCAGTGATTAAGACCCGAGGCCCTGTAGGTGTTCTAATGGGGCCTCTCTGTCCACATGGGGGACTGGAGAAAGGTCTCTAGGAGCTGCTGCTCACTGGAGCTGGGTGAACAGGTGACATCCCTGCAGGCATGGAGCATGGGCTTCTCTGGAAGTGGGGTAGCCAGGCCAACTCTGATCTGCTCCTGCAGATCCTGGACCTCTCTGTGCAGCCTGGGCCCTGGCTTTGTTATCTGCAAGAGAGAGGGCTCACCCGGTAGATGCTGGCATTGGAGGTTGACTGTTATTCTCTGAAAACCAAACAGCCACCGTGTCTGGTCCCAGATAAAAACTGAGTCATAAATGGGACTGTGATGGGCCTGAAGTCACCAGTTCTGGCTCATTAAGGGAAGGGGGTAGCACATCTGAATCTGCCTGGGGCCAAATTTCTTGTTCATTTCACTTTTCTGCACACTTGTCTTCTAATTCTCATTTTCTCTTTTCTTTCCCATTGGCCTTTTTGGGTGTTTTGTTTTTGTTTTCATTTGGGGGATGGAAATGCTCTGTCCTGTCATCTCTCCCTGTCCTACCATCCTGGCTCCTCCACCTGCTGCCATCACTCACCTGCTGGGTTGATGGGTTGGACCGAACTCTTCCACTCCTGGCGAAATGGTCACGGGCACTCCCAGTCGCTGGCGGAGCCGCTACTACGGGAAAGGACGTTATAATGGTCACCCTGACTTTAAGAACGCCTGTCCAGTTCTGGAGGAATAGTGTGTTCTGTCATTTCCCTCGTGCCCTGCCTGTGTGTGGTTGTGCCATTGCAAACCTGCTTTCTGCTGTGTCTCTGCATCCCAGCTTCTCACAACCGTGGTTTTCTTCCCCTAATCTGATGTGAGGTCCTGCCACCATACCTGCCACCACAAGGCTTGTGTTCCTCACAGTGGGTGACAGAGACCATAGCATGGGGCAGGGTCTCCATCTGCACCACAAGTGGACACATGGCTAGTTTCAGCAGAGAACAGAGTTTGGATCATTGATCCAGTCAGAGCTCAGAAAAAGAGAATCAAGGGAGCAGAAGCAGTACGCTCCGAGAAGTCAATTTTGGGGGTCCAGGCTGAGGAGCCATGGGAGGCATGGAGGGCTCTAGAGAAGTGGCCTGTGGCTGTGCCTTGCGGAAACTTGAAAGTTTCCTTATGCCCAGCTCCAGGCTTGCCCTGCTGTCCACCTAGCGGGTAGAGGTGGAGGTGTCCCTTTCTTTGCTGGAAAGAGAACGCCCTGCCTGGTGGCTGTGACCAGTCCTCTAGTCCCCAGCTCCCTGTGGCCTCTGGTTCTAACCTGTTCTTCCCTTCTCTGTCCTCTAGGTTGTAGGCCTGGTTGCCTTGCATGCACCGGGGGCTGTCTTCCTCCTAATCAACAATGGCTCTGCGACTTCTGCTAACACAAAATGCCAAGCAGGCACTAACCCAGGGGATGCCATCTCTGCTGCTCCAATCTTCTCTCTCCAGTCTTCTTGTGCTGTTTGTAACATGGCCCCTCCCTCTCCACGTGTGCCTGCATCGCTGCCGGTGGAGGATCGTATTAACTGGTACCCTGCGAGGTGGAGCAGCCTGTAGCCACCTTCCCAGATGGCGCTTTCCCTTCTGAGGGCTGTTCTTGCTTTTGTTTGATGGCCCTGTCACCCCACTAACCCCTTTGAGCCTCCACTGAATGTCCTGGGAGGGAAAGGGTGGCATCTAACGCTGGGATTTTATCCCATAGGGAGTGGAATGGTTCCAGAGCTTCCCTCTCTCGGGTCCTGTCACTGTCTCCTCTGGAGAGCTAGAACAGTAGGCACAAAATATCCTGTTGCTGTGAAAAACACCAGCTCAAAAGGGCTCTGTCCTTAAGAGCACACTCAGAAAACCTATCCGAAAGTAGAGTGATGTTTGGTTCCAGACAGCCACCAAGTTGCTCCCTTCACATCTGCCTGGGGCTCCACAAACTGAATAGATCTCTGCCATTGGGCCCTAGGAATCTTCCCCTCCACCTCCCAGTGGAGCCCATGTTGGAGCAGCATCCTATTTCTAGAAGGAGCAGGTGAGGTCAGCACTGCCAGTGCTGGGGCTCAGGTTTCTCTCCCAGTCTCACATGGAGCAAGTGCGGTCTAGGCAACCAATGAGGCAGAGGCGATGTGCCACGACCCTGCCCTGCCCCAGGAGGGGGGCACGGCTGAGGCCCAGGACTCGGGGTGACCAGCAGCTCTGCCAAAGCCGCAGGTCAAATGATCATTCCACTGGATGGGACCAGCTCCGCTGCGGAGCTTCTGGAACTAGCCCATTCCTTAGCCTGTGCCACCCTAACTCTGGTCAAGACCAGCTGGGCCATAACTCATGTTTCTGTTCCTCTCCACAGCATGAACAGCAGTAAAGGGGTCCCCCGCTTTGAAAGGTTCGGCCTGGGTGCCCTGGAGTCCAGTAATGCAAAGATGTAGCCGCTGGACCCCTTGTGCTGCCCATTCTTTTCTTTTCCTAACTGTGTTTTTAAAACACACAAGCCACCACGACAAAAAGTAAAAATACTAAAAGCCACTCCATCTGCCCAGCACTGCAAACCAGGACAGGAGACTCTATTCAGGCTGGGGCCCGGAGACAGAGCCCCGCCTGCTGTTAAAGATGGCCCCACACCAACCAGACCTGTCCCAACCGACAGCAAATGTTTACACGAACGTTTCTGCCGAGCGAACTCAACGTTTTACAATAGGTAATAATAAACAATGTATGCTTACGTGCACTGGCAGTGTGGGATGGCAGAGGTGGCCATCCCCATTGGAAGGATCCTGTAGAGAGCCTAATGCTGGGCCAGAAGGAAGAAGAGCGTTATGATTGTGGTTGCTTTGGGCTGCAGAGCGGGGGATATGAGGTCTGACCTGGTCTTGCTTTGGCCCTAACTGCCCTGGGTCTGAAATCTCCCTCTGAGACATTCTCCCTGCGTCCTATCAGAGAGACACAGTTCCCTTATCTCCCAGAGGAGACCCTGGCCAGAAACAGCTGGATCACAGAGGGCAGGAGTTCTTAGAGAGCTGGATTCACCTTCTAATCCCTGTAATCCAGACTGCCCTTGCTGGAAAAGTAGAGACAGAATCCTAGTGATTGATGCCTGAGGGTCTGGTGTCTCCCACTCAGGGTTTCTACCACAAGGCAGAGAGATAGCCATGCATTTTTAGAGCTCTCTTTCATGAAGCCCCAGGCAGTCACTAGAGCTGTGGGACTCAGGGCCTCCTCCCAGTGCCTGGCCCAAACTGAGCACTAGCCTGTAGGTGCACCTGCACTGAGATGAGAACGGAGAAGATGGTACAAAGAGACAGAAGTAGACAGCTAGCAGGTATCTGAGGCCCCCCACCTCCCCCCAGGCTTCTCAGTGACTCTGGCGGACACTTTAGAAACCCATTGCTAGCCATGCTAGAATGTTCCAGAACTACTCACCTCTTCTCATTCACCTTAGCCCACCTCTGCTGCTTTCCCTGAGCTCAGATACAGGCACTCTTTCCTCCAGACCCTCCTAGCAAGCCGCCTCTCTGCACAGCCTCCCGGGCAGTCTCAGGCCTTCTGCCTGTGTCCATGCAAAGCAGCGGGAGGCTAGACCTGAGAGCCAGCTGGGCGTCACGTGACCTCTGCTGCCCCCACTAGAAACGGCTGCCCACAGAATAGAGTTCCCAAAGGCAGAGGGCCTCAAGTAGAGATGAAGTTCAGTGGCCTCCGCAGCCCGAAAGAAAAAAAGTAATGGAAGGGGAGTTGTGATTGGAGTCAGGACCACAGGTTTGGGTTTCAAATAAGGGGCTCCCCCACCCCTTATTTGGGACCATGTGGCTCCAGCCTCTTCCAGTTCAACTCACCCAGCAAGTCCCAGTCTTCACAGCCTTCCCTACCAGCTGGGGTCCAGATGTTCCTTAATTCAGCCCTCTGCTGAGAATCTGTGGAGTTGCCTCTACAAGTAGGTATGTGCACATGCGTGTGCACATGCACGCGCATGCACACACATGGCCTTGGAGAGCACAGCTTACACAGTGCTATATGCACCCAGGGACAGTGGCGTCTTCACACCAGGAGGTGTGGTAGGAAGAGGGAGGCACTGTAAGCCAGTGGCCTATTGTTTGACCTCATCCTTTTGGCTCCCAGTCAGCCCTTGCTGTGACCTCCTATCCCCAAACCAAACCGTGTGGCTGTCTCATGCCTGACTTTGCCCTCTGGGGCTGTATAGCAGCTAAGCAAGTCAAGTGAACTCAATTCCTCCCCTTTCCCAGACCCTGGGCCACCGTGGGGTCACAGCAGACCCACAGGAAGGGAGTCCGGGTCTGGCTTTGTCTGGTGGCAGCCACAGCCAGCTCTCACTGAGCCTCTGCAGCGTGTGTGGTCTTATGCACGTGTGGGGATCCAGAGACAGATAGAAGTGGTCACAGTTCCACATTCAGGAGCTGCCTGTCTTTCTAAGGGCCTAGTGTCTGCCAGAAACCCAGGGGCCACTTGGCCCCCAGTTTGGAACTGAGGTACTAGGAACCCTCCTCTACTCCCAGGCCTAAGCAACACCTCTAGCTGTTCCAACCACCTCTGCTCTGCCTGTCATTTAAGGAAGTTCCCCACAATGGTCCCTTCTCCCTTTCTTATTTAAGCAACTGTGAATTGAGGTGAGGAAGGTGTGCTGGGCCTTCTGTGTGCTTTCCCTGCCTGTCTCAGAGACACACAAAGGACAGCAGATACTGTGAATCTAGTCCCCGCAGCCCGCGGTGAAGGGGATGGGAAAGGCCGGGGGCTGTGCCGCGGGAAAGACGGTGCTCTCCATAGGGTGGAAGTAGAGCCCAAGCTTTGGCACCTCCGGCCTCACCTCTGAGACCTTTCACCCCCCCCCCCAGAGCTGCAGTTCCCCCAGGTTTCTCTGATTGCTGTCTTGAATCCTCGCTGGGTTCTTAGTGAACAGTATATAGCAGAGTGGATCTCTCCATGTCTCCAGTTTACTCTCTGCTGCCCCATGGTATTTTTTTCTCATGGTTCCTTGAAGCCAGTGTTACTCTGTGGTGATGGGGTGGGGCGGAGACCCCAGCAGAGAGCCGTGGGAGCCTGCACTGTGCTGTAGCATCACGGTCGGGATGTCATCAGGGGCATTCCTAGCGTCTTCTGTGGCCACCAGGCACACATTGGCTTTTTGAATGTGATGTAAAATTTGTACAGTAAAAGTTTTTATATTTTCTATCCATCGTGTTTGTCTTCCAGAAATGCTATAATTTAAATTAAAATGGTTAGTATTAACAAGTGTGCTGTGTTGGTTTTATTTTGTTTGTTTCTGGTGTTGTTCTATCACTGGGAATGAATATACTACCCGTGTCCAGCAAGGTCACGGGGTAGGAATTGTGGATGCTTTATCTGGGAAGATAGATAAAGAGGTAAAATCTTTTTACCCAAGATCATACAGCTGTGGCAGCCAGTCCAGGTCTGACCTGACCAGTGACTGACCTCTCTCTACCAGAAGCTGGGGAGCCCACTGGTCCAATATCCACTGGGCTCCTGCTTTGTTCAAAAGATAGTGCTGAGGTGGGGTTAGTGGCTCACACCTGTAATCCCAGCTCTAGAGGTAAGGCAGTAGATTTAAGATTTGAAGGCCACTTTAGGTCACAGAGTGAGTTTGTCTCAAACAAGCATAAATAGTACAAAACCATGAACCATTGTTCCAGTATAGATCATATAGTAGACAACAAATTTGTACCAGGCCGGGTCCTGGTGGCTCACACCTATCATCCTAGCTACTCAGAAGGCTGAAAGCTAAGGATCACAGTTCAAAACCAAACAGAGCAGGAAAGTCTGTGAGATTCTTGTCTCCCATTAACCACCAGAAAACTAGAAGTAGAGCTGTGGCTCAAAGTGGGGCTTGACAATCAGGGCCAGGGCACTGTCCCTGAGCATTTTTGCTTAAGGCTAGCACTCTACCACTTTGAACTTTTTGAACTGTGATGAAAAATATAGAAATTTGTAGAAATTAAAGAGCACATTTATAACCAGTGGATCAAGGCTGGGAATGTGGCTCAGTGGTAGAGTGCTTGCCTTGCATGCATGAGGCCCTGGGTTCAATTCCTCAGCACCACATAAACAGAAAAAGCCGCAAGTGGCGCAATGGCTCAAGGAGTAGAGTCCTAGCCTTGAGCTGAAGAGCTGAGGGACAGTGCCCAGGCCCAGAGTTTAGGCCCCATGACCGGCAAAAAAAAAAAAAAACTTAGAGCTAATAAATGAATGCAATAAAGTAGCAAGAAACGAACAAAAATAAAGTGCCTTTCTGTACACTAACAGTGAACAACCTGAAAAGGGAAACAATTCCACTTATAATTGCATTTTAAAAAGACTATTTTAGGTGGAAAGTTAGACAATGAAATGATAAAACGTTGCTGAATGAAGGGCCACATACCACACTCACTGACTACAGCGACTCCTGGGGGATCCAGGGCCTGTGCCTTCGTTCCTGGAGGAAAGCGACTCACTTCAAGCTACCAGAAGAACATGATTTTACAGGGGAATCTATGTGTCAAGACAAGAGCCAGGCTCATAACCGTGTTCCCTCACTGCCTTTTACCTGGGTGATCCCAAGCTAGCCACTGTCCCCTTCTCTAAGAGGAAATGACATTTTTCTCATACAATTTTCTTGACAGTGAATGATTGTTGTTTTGTGCGAATAAGAACCAGTGTTGCCAGACTTCCCTCTTTGCTAGTTCTGTAGAAAACAGGACTCCTTCTACCTTGCTCTTCTCATATCTTTGCATACAAAAGAGATAGAGCTGTTAGTCCTGCCACATTCCTTCTACCTATCTCAATCAGCCCTCCATGAGACTAGTGACCCGAAAGCCAGCAGCTGAGTCCCTTGCTGGCTTCCCACTCCACCCTGCTCTGAAGAGAAACCAGGAGACTAATTCTTGCAGAACCTCACCATATTCCCTGCAACAGATGTTGGGTTAATGAAGGGAGGCCTCACTCCAGGGAAGCGGTGGCGGGGGAGGGAGGTGGGGGCGGAAACTCTGGTTTGCAGCACTGACTTCAGCACTGGAAGTCTGGGCTGAGTCCAACTGTGTGATGTGGGTCCAGTTGCTTCACCTCTCTATACCTTCCTATCTTCCCGTTCTAGAATGGACATAATTAACTGGACCTACTTCATAAAGATGACAGAGGATTAAATGTAAGGGACCCAGAACAATCCTAGTGCATAGTAAATATTCTATAAATATTAACTTTTAATCACCACTGTGCTCTACGCCAGTCTAATTCCAGCTGTCCACCTGTCTTGCCCTTTGGAACCTGAGCCTCTGGTCCACCTTACCCTGCCTGAGATATAGATTTGCAAGCCAAATACATGCTGTCAACGTTTCAAGATCCCAGGTTTTAGGCTAATATTTATGTAGCAATAGATCATCAAAACCCCAGCTTGATAAGTCAGCCCAGGGAGGAGCAGCCAGAAAGCAGCTCAGAAAAGGTAGCCAGTTGCTCAATTTCCTCTTGTGTCCAAGTGGGGGAAGAGGGGGTGGAAGTGGAAAAGATCTGGCTACCCTGCCAGGCTACCCTGCTTCTTCAGGTTCTATAGCTCCTAACATTCAGGCTCTGATTCTTACATTTGCTCATTACTCAGTCTCACTGGACTGTTGGGAGCTTTATCAAAAATATGTAAAAAAAAAAAAAAAATCCCCTCATGGGGCACTGGTGGTTCATACCTGTAATCCTACTCAGGAGGTTGAGATCTAAGGATGACAGTTCAAAGCCACTTCAGGCAGAAAAGTCCATGAGATTCTTATCTCCAATTAAGCACAAAAAGGGGGCGGGGCAGGGGGAGGACTGGGTAGCTTAAGAGGTAGAGCTCCAGCCTTGAGTGTAAAAGCTAAAAGACAGTGCCCAGGCCCTGAGTTCAAGCCCCAGAACTGGCATTTTTAAAAAAAAAAAAAACCATGGTGTTCACTGGAGCACAGCACACCATCTGGTGTCAGGCAAACCCTGGTTTCTTTTTTCTGTGGAGTGTTATAGTGTACAAGGAGGGTCTGTTCTCTAAAAGCCTGGTGGAAGGAAGGTGGTGTAAGCCAGTAACAAGGAGCGCACAGGGCAGACATCACTAGGTACGGACCATCGGTCTGGTTCCTCCAGCTGTATTGAAATTGAACCCAGAGAAGCCCATCACCAAGCTCACAAAGGCCTAGCTTAGGGCCTTCAAGACAAGGATACTGTGCTCACTTGATCTCAGGATCCTGCCAGTCCTGGGTCTTGAACTCAGGGTCTGAGCTTTGTCCCTGTTTCCCCTCCTCTGTCTCTGTCTCTGTCTCTCTGTCTCTCTCTCTGTCTCTCTCTCTCTCCATTAGGATTTTATCACTTGAGCCACAGCTCCACTTCCAACTTAATAATTAATTGGGGAGAAGAGTCTCGTGGACTTTCCTGCCTCTGCTGGCTTTGAACCCTGATCTTCAGATATCAGCTTCTAAAGTAGCTAGGATTAACATGCTGGGGCTTGAAACTCAGGGCCTTGAGGTCAATCTCAGCTGTTTGTTCACAGATGGCGCTCTATTGCAGGTTAATTGTAGATAACAGTCTGTTAGCTGTGTCTGCCCAGCCTGGCTTCAGCTTCCACAACTGCTAGGATTATAGATGTGAGCCAGCACCTGGCTATAACCTCAAAAATCTCCCTTTTTCTGTGTTTCAAAATGTCCAGCTGAACACTAGAATGAGGGAGATTTACTAAACAAATATTTCTGTCAGTCACATGCTACATTTTCCAATTCTCCTTTCCTTGTACATCAGCACCGATATTTATTTAATCTGTTTCCTTAAACTAATCTTGTTTTTTTTAAACAAAACAAAACAAATGTATTACATACTTAGGACTAAGCCTGGATCCCTGTTCTAACAATTCTTCAGATATTGCATTTTCAACTCTTGGTTTTTGTTTTTGTTTTTGTTGTTTGTTTTTTGGTGCTAGTCCTGGGCGCTATCCCTGAGGGGTTTCTTGTTTTTTGTTTTGCTCAACGATAGTGCTCTACTATATGAGCCACAGCTCTGCGTCTGGCTATTTTTTTTTTTTTTGATAGTTAATGAGAGG